ACAATACATGAAGTCTAACCTCGGGGACAGACATTGACACAAACTCGTATGGCCAGACACTTCGACTTTCCTCTGTGAAGGCTTATACACAACTCACACAAACCAAGAGAAAATCAGTTCTTGAATGCATGCAGCTACGGCCACTGCTGACTTGAGGTGAGGCAGGCACTCTCAATATTATTTCAGACTAAATATCTTTTTCTTTCTCCTCCAGCCACCATCTGTAGTACATCACTAATATGATGCGTGTTGTATAAGATAGGAACCAATCAAGGAATCAAAACGGCTGAAGAAAACACTTTTTGTAATTATGGGCACACACAACTGTATCCTGTGAATTTGCGCCGATGGCCTACAATTAGTCAATACAACTTCAGGCTACGTATGGAACTCTGTATTAAGACATGTTAGGAATCTACCAAGGTGCTTTCAATCGCGGTGCAATATTGTAATCTTGGGAACCAATCAAAAAGAAAAAAGAAGAATGTTTCAACATGTAGGCATAAAAATGAGGTCATATAAATTGTGACATTCGTCTGCAATATAGCTCTTCTGCTCTCAGTGGAAGGTTGTGGTCTCCGCCACGATCAACAAAGCATTCGTAGCACTACGACATTCGTAATCCTATGGTAAATTTAACGAACGCTTTGTGGACCCGGACTTTGATTTCTAAATTAAACTAGTGCGTATGATAGTGATTTAGATAGCAACCATACATTCAAATATTAGCAGTAAAATGAATTGATAAAAGTGATCTGCCCTTGTTCTCCGAACGATCCATTCTGTATTAACATGTTGGGTAAATGAAATCACTTCTGAATCCACTGTCCCATATGAGTAGATAATATCAAGATATAATTTGTTTGATTTCATTTACAAGAAAAGTTTCACAATTTACACAAGACATATAATCATCCGAGGTTAACATTAGTCCAGCCAGCATCGAGTTCACAAATCTGTCATATTCAGGATTATGCTTGATTACATGCTTTCTATTCAGGTGATGAAAGAACAAGAATTACGTCTGAAACTTGGTATAAAGTATAAACAAACGTTGTTATCCATAAGGGGCGGTGGGGTAGCCTAATGGTTAAAGCGTTGGCTCGTCACGCCGAAGACCCGGGTTCGAATCCCCACATGGGTACAATGTGTGAAGCCCATTTCCGGTGTCCCCCGCCGTGATGTTGCTGGAATATTGCTGAAAGCGGCGTAAAACCAAACTCAGTCAGTCAGTCAGTGTTATCCATAAACCGTGTCATGTATTCATGATCGTCCAACTGCTAAGTGCCTTTCATGAACTTTATGATCATGCTGTCAGTGTTATCTCCTGTCACTGGCTACAACAGTTCACCTTGTCTGCACTCTTCGGGCAGAGCCAGCCAGTGAACGAGGCTGATGTACGTCATCAGGTCGGAAAATAAGGACCGAATTAGGGAGGTTAATTCACATCTGTAGATTCGCCGACAGTTTGACATGTTTTCATCTGTGATAGCGCTTGTTGATGAAAGCCGAAATATTCTAGCTTCTACTGGACGCTGTCGTCTCTAGACCAGACAATCACGTGACAGACATCGCAGGCATCGATCTACACACGTAGATAGGACGATATACAAATCTCACGTGCTTGGTGGAAACAAAAACTTCGCCCAGGTTTTCACCCGACCTGCAACAAAAACCTCGGACAATATTCCAGCAGTATAAAATGACTCTCTTCTTTACTGTTTATTTACTATTTACTGTATATTTGGGTCTTTTTTTAAACCATATTACGTATATTTGGGTCGAGATGATATTTCTTCGTCACTATCTGCGGTATATTTGTGTCGAAATGACTCTCTCTCTCTCTTCTTAAACATCTGCCATATGCTTTGGTCTAGGTGATTCCCTCTTCCCCATCTGCTGGATGTTTGGGTCTAGTTGATTCTCTCTTCCCCATCTGCTGGATGTTTGGGTCTAGGTGATTCCCTCTTCCCCATCTGCTGGATGTTTGGGTCTAGTTGATTCCCTCTTCCCCATCTGCTGGATGTTTGGGTCTAGTTGACTCACTCTTCCCCATCTGCTGGATGTTTGGGTCTAGTTGATTCCCTCTTCCCCATCTGCTGGATGTTTGGGTCTAGGTGATTCTCTCTTCCCCATCTGCTGGATGTTTGGGTCTAGTTGATTCCCTCTTCCCCATCTGCTGGATGTTTGGGTCTAGGTGATTCCCTCTTCCCCATCTGCTGGATGTTTGGGTCTAGGTTGATTCCCTCTTCCCCATCTGCTGGATGTTTGGGTCTAGGTGATTCCCTCTTTCCCAATTTGCTGGATGTTTGGGTCTAGTTGATTCCCTCTTCCCCATCTGCTGGATGTTTGGGTCTAGGTGATTCTCTCTTCCCATCTGCTGGGTTTAGGTCTAGTTGATTCCTCTCTTCCCCATCTGCTGGATGTTTGGGTCTAGTTGATTCCCTCTTCCCCATCTGCTGGATGTTTGGGTCTAGTTGATTCCCTCTTCCCCATCTGCTGGATGTTTGGGTCTAGTTGATTCACTCTTCCCCATCTGCTGGATGTTTGGGTCTAGTTGATTCCCTCTTCCCCATCTGCTGGATGTTTGGGTCTAGGTGATTCCCTCTTCCCCATCTGCTGGATGTTTGGGTCTAGTTGATTCCCTCTTCCCCATCTGCTGGATGTTTGGGTCTAGTTGATTCCCTCTTCCCCATCTGCTGGATGTTTGGGTCTAGTTGATTCCCTCTTCCCCATCTGCTGGATGTTTGGGTCTAGGTGATTCCCTCTTTCCCAATTTGCTGGATGTTTGGGTCTAGTTGATTCCCTCTTCCCCATCTGCTGGATGTTTGGGTCTAGGTGATTCTCTCTTCCCCATCTGCTGGATGTTTGGGTCTAGTTGATTCTCTCTTCCCCATCTGCTGGATGTTTGGGTCTAGTTGATTCCCTCTTCCCCATCTGCTGGATGTTTGGGTCTAGTTGATTCCCTCTTCCCCATCTGCTGGATGTTTGGGTCTAGGTGATTCTCTCTTCCCCATCTGCTGGATGTTTGGGTCTAGTTGATTCCCTCTTCCCCATCTGCTGGATGTTTGGGTCTAGGTGATTCTCTCTTCCCCATCTGCTGGATGTTTGGGTCTAGTTGATTCTCTCTTCCCCATCTGCTGGATGTTTGGGTCTAGTTGATTCCCTCTTCCCCATCTGCTGGATGTTTGGGTCTAGTTGATTCCCTCTTCCCCATCTGCTGGATGTTTTGGTCTAGTTGATTCTCTCTCCTTTTTCCATTCGCTGTTCTCTTGCTCTGTGTGATTGTTTAGACCGCCATTATATGTGTTCATGACCGTATTTCCGTGCCAACCCCATGTGTTTTGTGGCCGTTTATTCCCCAGGATGTGATATATTGTTTATTCCCGAGGATATGATACATTGTTTATTCCCCAGGATATGATATATTGTTTATTCCCCTGGATAGGACATATTGTTTATTCCCCAGGATATGATATATTGTTTATTCCCCAGGATAGGACATAGTGTTTATTCCCTAGGATATGATATATTGTTTATTTCCCCAGGATAGGACATATTGTTTATTCCCCAGGATATGATATATTGCTTATTCCCCAGGATATGATATATTGTTTATTCCCCAGGATATGATATATTGTTTATTCTCCAGGATATGATATATTGTTTATTCCCAGGATATGATATATTGTTTATTCCCAGGATATGATATATTGTTTATTCCCCAGGATATGATATATTGTTTATTCCCCAGGATATGATATATTGTTTATTCCCCAGGATATGATATATTGTTTATTCTCCAGGATATGATATATTGTTTATTTTTCAGGATATGATAATTGTATATTCCAAGGGTATGATATATTGTTTATTCCAAGGGTATGATATATTGTTTATTATAATATTAATTTATTATTATAAGATCTACAGCCTAGGAGTGACATGGTTTGCAGGTAACACCTAGATGTTCACACATTGTTTTGAATGAATGATGACTAAGAGGTTTTGCAAAACCCTTTCATTCAATTATGTACAATAAAAACTATACTCTCATCAATTGTATTAACAAAACCTCAGAATTTTTACGGCATGTATTCTGAAATGCATTCAATAATGGACTCCCCAAATGCAAAATTACTGTTGGAAGTACAAATTAATTACAATATGCTTATTGTGCCTTGAGAAGAAAAATATGACGGCATAGTGAGGATAATTACACATGGGCAGTGAGTAATATACAGGAACTGTCTGCGGGGTATCTTCTCTGACCTGTCCCCGAAGGTTTCAAACCACGCTGGCCAACCAATAAATCACTGATCTTATGACAGTGTTAAATCACCATCACGTGATAACCTTAGAAATCTTCCATGGTTTTCTTCGAAGCTATCGTTCTCAATAATATAACCATGGATAGGCGTGGCCATGTCCTTTCAGTAAGTGACATGTTTGCAGGCTGTTAGACCCCACTTCAGCTATCCTTGGCTGCCATTGTAACGCTGGGTCTTCCAGATCTTGGACGATCGTTACCGACCTCATGGCACCACAAGGTTATTATGCCTAGTAATTCCATGTCTACGATTAACGGTTTCATGTCTACCATTAACTTTAGCTCTGTTTCCAAATAAGAAAATTCACATGAAGAATTTCACATTTGTTAACTGATTAATTTGTGTAAATAATGTGTGATAAACTGGCTCGGGGACATGTAACAAATTCAGCTTCTATCCACTGTCTTAAGAACACGTTTCATGTAAAGGTACATCCATCATTTAGAATTTATATGTTGGCATCATGGCATGCTTTTTGGTCCAGCTAAAAAAGAGATAACTGCAATAACGCTAGATCTACTTTTCCTCACATTGAGTTCAATGACAAAATCAATGTCAGTCATGTTTTCTTATATCTGAATCGGAATTATTGTTAAAACAATGTATTGACTTTAATAAACGAACAGAACATAAGGACACATTAGTCTTATGAAATATTTAGTTCGCATTATGTATTGTCGCAACGAAGTAACAACAAAAGGAACTCCGGCTGTACGAGACGAAGCCTGCCAAGGTGGATATCCTTTTCAAAGCGGTCGGGGATATAATGTATTGGGTTCTTCACATTATCCATCCCGTGGCGGTGAGGTAGCCGTGAATATTGCTAAAAGCGGCGTAAAACTCAACTTACTCACTCACTGACTCATTATCCATCTCCTAAATATTGAACAAATTTCATCTGCTGGCATAGAATAGAATAGTATTCCTTAATATTCCTACAGTACTGCGGTCATCTTTCTGTGAAAGAGACGGTATCACTTTTCAAAGACACATTTTTCACTTTGTTTACTTTTTTACAAGATGAAATGTGATACCTAGAACAACTAAGAAAGGTTTTTCAGGTACAGACGTATTTTTATCATGAGTTTCATACAACGGTATCACTTTAATAATGTTTGTAATATCGTGTTTAAATCCATTATTTAAAGGCATACTCCCTGTATTCACAGCTGATTACCGTACTTAGTCGTATCCCGTCTGTGATTCTTTGTATCTGATACAGGTATTACAAATGGCGACGCTTCGGGGCTACAAGGATCCAAGTTGAAGAAGAACTCAACCAAAACAAGAGAGTTACCTCCCCAAGAGACATTTGTGTCAAAGTTCACTTCCTGTCGATGGACGACATGTTACATGTGTTTCGTGGCGTCTCTGTTGTTGTATACATTCCGCCATTGTCTAAGCATGGCCTTTGTGTGTATGGAAACAGCACCCAGCCTGCTGTCCAACTGGACCGAGAACAATTTCACGAATACCACGGGTTTGACGGCGAACAATGTCACAAATTCTACGATACAGGGATCGGAGTATACCGAGGACAAGGTAGGTTCACTGGTACCAAGTTAGGGTAGGAGAAACAGTAGAAGTGGTCGCTAAATAAGAAAAAAACCCTGGATCAAACGTAATACCTGACCTGCAATTATCACAGTGGAATCCTTTCTTGCACAGTCACCGATATTTTAATACCATTCTTTGTTTGAAAAAAAATGGTCGTTATATTGCTGACATAATGCCGATGCTACGGTATATTTTAACTCACTCACTTTAAATATAATAGAACGAATGCAAGCCCAATTTGCTGGCTTGTCGTAGAAACCGTTTTGAACTGAAGATCGGATAGTCACGTCACGACTTGGCTGATTTGGTGTCATTGGGAGAACCTGCTGCTCTCAGCATCTGTTTTACTTGGTCCAGATTGTGACCAGCTACCGTCCAATGTTTGGAATATTGCTGACTACAGCATAACACCGACATAACGATATTATCACGTCACCAACAAGAACATAAAAGCCAATAATCTTTTTTTAAAAAATGATCATCAAAGCAACAGAGAGTTAACATCACATACACAACACATAAAGAAGGCAAAGTAACCTGTGTTCGACCACTTCATATCACATGCTTACGGGAGGTGATAGACAGCACAGATAGTCAGATTTAGTGCACCACGGCCACAGGGGTTCGATCACTGTTTAGACAGTATGTTTTAAAAATAAAACTCTAGGCGTTTGCAATCATATAGTTTTTATACTATTTTAAGGTGTAGTTCAATCGAACCTTACGTTTTTCACCCAAAAAGTATTGTCCAAACAGTGATTCGAACCCCTGTGACCACGGCCACCTACCCTGGCTGCTACCTAAAACAAAGACTGTTATAGAGGCAACAGCTGAAGACACGCGAAGTTCCAAGTATAAATGCAAGCTTAGGACACATCTATTTGTCTATGCCGATCTGTGATCCATTGGGGGGAGGTTTCGCCACATTGACAAGGAGATTTAAGCTGTCAAAGTATACATTGATTGTGGCTGGAAGATGAAACAGCCAAGAAAGGGTAATCCATGGCGATATCTTTGGTAATTTATTGGTCAAATCCAACGTCAAATCCAAATCCAAGTGTATACTTTGTTTGTCCTATATTTAGGTCAGTAGCAGTGAGTGAGAACGATGCTGCAGTGATGAGTGGATTCGTGTCAGACATACTTCCGTACAGTTTCTAACCGTCGATTACCATTTCATGCATATGATTACATTTGCATTTTCAGAGATACAACCCGTATGTCCCGGCTCAGTTAGAAGGGACACTTCTCTCCAGCTATTTCTACGGGTACCTGTTGACGCCCTTGGTAGGAGGTACTATCGCCTCCAAGTTTGGGCCAAAGAGAGTGGTGGCTACATCACTGACCATAGCGTCCACAGCAATCGTCTTGTTTCCATTAGCCCTCAGAACAAACATATACCTCGGCATTGCCATGCGGATCATCGTGGGCCTGTCATCGGTGAGTATACGTGCTGGTGTTTGTTTGTTTGTTGTTTAACATAGCACCTCGCAATATTCCAGCTGTATGGCGGCGGTCTGTAAATAACCGAGACTGGACTAGACAATCCAGTGATCAATAGCATGAGCGTCGATCTACGCAATTGGGATATGATGACATGTGTCATCTAAGTCAGCGAGCCTGACCACCCGATCCCGTTAATCGCGTCTAAGGACAAGACTGGGTTGCTGAAGGCCACATCTAACCTGGATTCTAAAACGGGTACATCAGTACGGGTTTTACATTTGTTACACAAGATATGACCCCAAAATTGTTTTAGCAGCAAATGGCGATGTACAGAAGAATATTTTGAATGTATTTGCCTTTCTTGTAAACATTACACTTTCAATTTGATATAGGGATGGGCAGGCAGCATACCTGCATTTTTCTTGATGTTCCACTGATGGTCACACATGTACATCTACAACATGTACAGATGGAATTCAGTGAATGTCCGTTGAACATTCACTGAACATTCGCCTAATACCCTGATTGAACTGAGCTAGGGATAATCTGGCCCTTCATCTTTCATGTAATCCTTTCAAACAATTGTCATCATTATTTCGCCTTTACGACCTATGAACTCTGTTTAGGTAGATATTCGAGTATTCGAGTACATTTATTTAATCCTCTGTTAAGTCGAGTTCATTGAGTGATTGAGTGAGTTTAATTTTACTGTAAGCAATATTCCAATAGTATCACGACGGGGACACCAGAAATGGGCTTCACACATTGTATTCGTGTAGGGAATCGAACCCGGGTCTTCAGCGTGACGAGCGAGCGCTTTATCCACTTGGCCACCCCACCGCTACCAGGAAGTTACTACCTGGAGCAGCGGGTGAGTGAGGCGAGGTTGGTGCGGGAGAAGACCTAAGATAGATATGCTTTATCTTCCCCGTTGTCAAGAAGACAGTTCACAAGATGAACAACGTGCTTGAAATGCAAAATGCCTGAATCCAAAGGTGAAAGTCCAAGTGTCTGAGTTCAATGTGTTCCCCACTTCATATATATAGTTCATGATGTTGTCATCTACGTGAGTGGAACATGATTAGACCCACGTGTCTCAGAGAGCTATTCCTACCCTGGATGAGTGTGTTACACTTTACTAGTACATGTTGGTGCATATGTGTCACAAGCAGGATGTATTTAATTTAAAAAATATTTGTGCTAGTTTTGCTTTGCATAGGGGATGAACATGGCCTATTTTTGTCCATGTCATACGAGTGGTTTATTTTATACAAGAGCTGTCGTGTTTTCCTAGCAGATCGATACATGTTGTTATCGGCAGATGACCGTAATAGAGGATATTATATGAGTGCCCATGTCATACTATGTTTACCACACGAGAGCCTAAATGTTGATATTTCCCGAGCGAGAGCGAGGGCTATACCGATATTTAGGCACGAGTGTCGTAAACACAGTATGATGTGGGAATGAATTTAATATTCTGTTTATTACCGAGCTTGTTAAAAAATTCAGCTGATAAATGACTTTGATACTCTTCCTTTTCATTTGTTGCACGATTAAAAAAGATCAAAGGCATTATAGAGATAAAGAGATTGACTAAAAAAGTACTGTCGGAAATGGAAAAAAACTGTTTTAAGGCTGTTACTCTGTATCCCTAAAATTTACACAATTGCAAATAGCATATGTCGAAATAACCCACTTCGGCCTAACTGGGCGTTCAGTGGGATGCGTAATACGATATCCAGAAAAGTATGTTTACTCGTAAAATCGGGCAAAACTTAGAAATAATACGAACAGCTGCTGAAAACAATAGATCAGACTATAGATGGCAATTAGGTCGCTCAGCCAGGTATGACGACGGACCGTCGACTCACCTGGCATGAAATGCATGTGCTGTCTACAGGCACAAGGGGTCATCTCAAAGATACTTTGTGCTTTTTCATGTGTGTTGACTATGTCTCATCTATTGATTAACATCTTACGTGTCTTTCTGTCATATAGTTTCATATAGTTTATGTTGAGATATGTAAGAGAGTATGATACCCGAAAACCATAGAAACGCATCGTAGTATGTAGGTGGCATGACCACCCGAAGATCGACAGGACTGGATATTATTTGTAAATTGTTATGACGTGCCTTGTACCTCCCCAGTATAATTGCCCTAAAGGATTATCTTATCTTAGCTGATATCTCTATCCCCAAGCCCGACCCCAGGTTTTGCTTTTGAGACGGACCCTCCTATCTGTTTCTTTTTATAGTGACAGTGAGACTGCATGGTAGCTACATCCTTAATAGTTTCAGCATAAAAGTTATTATTTTTTACGTCAGCTATCGTTTATAATGAATCTACGTCTAATTTCAAATTGGGCATTTAAAAAGTGTCCTTTGTAATACAATATCGTCGCACACTAATTTGCATAAAGCCATGGTCTGTTCCAAATAAGTCTTTTTGGACTTAGAAAAAAACCCGCATTGCTCATTTCTGCACTAATTTCCCCTCAGTAAAGTCCTTTTTCTCCGTTTCCTATCTCTCTACCACTGAGACTGTAGTTAGGCCGAACTTAGTTTAACAGATATTTCACACTTTCACATATCAACTACATAAATTGTAGAGATAAATGAGAAAATACAGTTTTTTCTATTTCCGACAGTACTATTTTTTTGTTAGTGTAGATGGCAGTCAAGTTGGAAAATGACCGTCACTGTCTAATCCAGCACCCTGTCTAAACCGGCATTTTATCTCGGTCCCATGGGGTACAGGTTTCACTGTACTTCCTCATTGACGAAATCTTTGTGAAGTCTGAGGGTAGGACATGTTGGCAAGAAGTAGGCTCCCCAATGAGCGCCAACAGTGTTTCGCTCCTAGCTGATTCATTTCTCTATGCATAGATCAAAATGTCTGTTTCAAAACGAAGGAACTTGACGAAGAGGATTAACGTCTGGGGGTGCGATGGTGCGCACCCCTCCTTTTGTCCTGAAAGTTTATTAAAATACCATTGAAACTCTCGTGAAAATGAAGTGTGCACCCCTCCCCTTTTCTCAAGAGTTCCCCCTGTATCCGCCCCAGTTCAGAGTATCGGTGAAGTGATATTGTAAAGTAGTGGTCGACTTGCCAGTTTCCTTCCGGATGCTGACAGCGGTAATGAAGGTGAAGACAGATTTGGTTTGCCACGAGAGGCGCTTAAAATGTTGAATCAAATATATTTTACGTGAGAAATTATAAATATGAGGTTGGAAATGCGAGAGCACAGCCAAGTGAGGGTATAGGTGACTACCTTTGATGGTGGCGATATTTTAATTTGATATTAAAACTATATTTCGAACCGAAGCGAGGAAAGTATGTTGCCAACCTTCCATATAGGAAAATTGGTCATTTTGTTTCTCTCTGTTGCTCAACCCTATTTGCGCTACAGTTTGTCTGTGGTCCAACAGGGAGCAACGCACACCGACGTCGCAAGAAGGTTAGGATGCGCGCGCATAACCGTCTCCAGGTTAATGCAGCGGTTGCGTCAAACAGGTTGGACAAGAGACAGGCCGTGAAGCGGGAGACACGGGTGACCACGCCTATTGAAGACCGTCACATCTCCGGGTACTTCATCTCCGGAACCGCTTCATCACGGCGACGTTAACGGCAAGGACGGCACAGAGACACGTCGACAAACCGTGTAGAAGAGATTGCAGGCAGATGGCATCCGAGCACGTCGCCCCTACCGTGAAGCGTTCATTACACCTCAACAGCGAGCCAACAGACTGGTGTGGGCAAGGCGACTTCGACGTTGGCAACGGCGAGACTGGGCACGGGTCATATTTTTCGACGAGAGCAGATTTTGCATCTTCAGGAACGATGGTCGGCAGCGTGTGTGTACCGAAGAGTTGGTGAACGTTTGGCACAGACTTGCATTCATCAAGTCTGTCTACTCGGAGGCGGAGGGTTTAATGGTTTGGGGTGGAACCTGCGGTGACGCCAAAACGAGGCTCATCGTTATTCGACGAAACCTGAATGCACAGCGTTATCGAGATGAAACTTTACAACCAGTTGTGGAGCCACTCATCCAACAACAGCCTCGTGGAATCATTTTCCAGCACGATAATGCAAGGCCACATACGGAAAGGCTGTCTCAGAACCTCCTCGCCAACGCCAACATTCAGGTTTTACCATGGACGGAATATTCACCGGATATGAACCCAACCGAACATTTATGGGACCATCTCAATCGCCAACTCAGAAATCGCCCTGTGGCTTCAGTCAACCAATGCCTCCATGATGAATGGCAACGTCATCCGACGTTTGACGTCATCAGCCCGTAGACGTGTACAGGCGTGTATTGACGCTCAAGGTGGACATACCCGTGTTTGAATGAAATTTTCATTTTGGACCCCTCACGTCGCCGTGATGAAGGATTGATTGAAACAATTTTTGTGTACACGTGTTATTGAAAGAATTGTCTAATGAAAGATACCAATGTAAAATTTCTGTATCATTTTGTTTTTCTTTAATGTCCTTTCAAACATGTGGTATCGTTTCTGTTGGACATTAGTTTTGTTGGAATCGTAAAACGGACCTGCCACTTCCATGGAATAGGTTACATGATGCCTCACGTTCAAGTAATACAACAAGTGTTTCGTAGGACCCCAGTAATAGACGTGAACCCCGGGGTTGACGTAGGTGATGTTGCTGGAGGGTACAATATTTCAACTGTTGCAAAATGTTCATCCCCGCCAATCCACTAACTTCCGCATTAACTTAGTATTTGTTCCTCAGGTTTGAGAACTTCTACAGACGGGGTTTTGTCACACCTCAATTTTGGTTTACATCAAATATTTGGTTTGTTGTAGGGCACCATCAATCCTTCTCTCTATGTCATGTGGTCCCACTGGGCTCCCATATATGAAAAGTCTCAACTGGCCGCTGTTACAAATTCAGGTGAGAACATATGAAACTGACAAAGATTAACATTTCACTTTAAAATATTTTTTTGCATTTTGAAAGCACGCCAAGGCCTATCTAAATACAGGTATACCAACACTGATCAAAGTATTAGGAAAGTCGAACTGATAAATTTAAATATGTTTAGACTTTAGATGTGTATGTGATAACGATTATTTATAATTCAGTTAGCAGACGCTAAACTGTTTGGCGAATTCTTAGTCAATAACCAAATATTTGGGTTTGAACACTTGTCACATGACAGAATATAGGACAGTATGATCACGTGATAAGGCATCATCTCCTGTAGACAGATCGTCAATCCGGAACAAATCTTGCGATTCGAAATTATTTATACAAAAGAATATATTCAACCGAAATATATAGCGACTGATAATATTTTCTACTGAGGTTTTCGCCTTGAAGTTAGTTTTCACCAAACTATATATCTTTACATGCAGTAAATCATTCGTATCACCTGATGCCATAGTTGTACGTTACTTGAATAATATTGCTGCAAGCTGCTTCAAACTGCATTGACTTACTCACTCACTCCGTGGCTGACCACTGGTTTGTGTCCAGGTGTGAACATGGCCAGTATCCTAGTGACGGCCGTGTCGGCATCCCTCTGTGAGATTGCTGTGGACGACGGGTGGCCCTTCATCTTCTACGTCTATGGTGAGCAATGTCAAGGATTGTTCTGTGAATGCATCAGTGGCTGTATGGTGTGTTTTATGTGTTACATGTGAGAGTCCTTAGCTTGTCGTCATGTCAAGGATTGTTCTGTGAATGCATCAGTAGCTGTATGGTGTTTTTTATGTGTTAAATGTGAGAGTCATTAGCTTTTCGTCATGTCAAGGATTGTTCTGTGAATGCATCAGTGATTGTATGATGTGTTTTATGTGTTACATGTGAGAGTCCTTAGCTTGTCGTCATGTCAAGGATTGTTCTGTGAATGCATCAGTGGCTGTATGGTGTGTTTTATGTGTTAAATGTGAGAGTCCTTAGCTTGTCGTCATGTCAAGGATTGTTCTGTGAATGCATCAGTGGCTGTATGGTGTGTTTTATGTGTTACATGTGAGAGTCCTTAGCTTGTCGTCATGTCAAGGATTGTTCTGTGAATGCATCAGTGGCTGTATGATGTGTTTTATGTGTTACATGTGAGAGTCCTTAGCTTGTCGTCATGTCAAGGATTGTTCTGTGAATGCATCAGTGGCTGTATGATGTTGTTTTATGTGTTAAATGTGAGAGTCCTTAGCTTGTCGTCATGTCAAGGATTGTTCTGTGAATGCATCAGTGGCTGTATGATGTGTTTTATGTGTTACATGTGAGAGTCCTTAGCTTGTCGTCATGTCAAGGATTGTTCTGTGAATGCATCAGTGGCTGTATGGTGTGTTTTATGTGTTACATGTGAGAGTCCTTAGCTTGTCGTCATGTCAAGGATTGTTCTGTGAATGCATCAGTGGCTGTATGATGTGTTTTATGTGTTAAATGTGAGAGTCCTTAGCTTGTCGTCATGTCAAGGATTGTTCTGTGAATGCATCAGTGGCTGTATGGTGTGTTTTATGTGTTAAATGTGAGAGTCCTTAGCTTGTCGTCATGTCAAGGATTGTTCTGTGAATGCATCAGTGGCTGTATGGTGTGTTTTATGTGTTACATGTGAGAGTCCTTAGCTTGTCGTCATGTCAAGGATTGTTCTGTGAATGCATCAGTGGCTGTATGGTGTGTTTTATGTGTTACATGTGAGAGTCCTTAGCTTGTCGTCATGTCAAGGATTGTTCTGTGAATGCATCAGTGGCTGTATGTGTGTTTATGTGTTGTGTGAGAGTTTATGTGATTGTTCTGTATGCATGTGAGAGTCCTTAGCTTGTCGTCATGTCAAGGATTGTTCTGTGAATGCATCAGTGGCTGTATGGTGTGTTTTATGTGTTAAATGTGAGAGTCCTTAGCTTGTCGTCATGTCAAGGATTGTTCTGTGAATGCATCAGTGGCTGTATGGTGTGTTTTATGTGTTAACATGTGAGAGTCCTTAGCTTGTCGTCATGTCAAGGATTGTTCTGTGAATGCATCAGTGGCTGTATGGTGTGTGTTTATATGTGTTACATGTGAGAGTCCTTAGCTTGTCGTCATGTCAAGGATTGTTCTGTGAATGCATCAGTGGCTGTATGGTGTCAAGGATTGTTTATGTGTTACATGTGAGAGTCCTTAGCTTGTCGTCATGTCAAGGATTGTTCTGTGAATGCATCAGTGGCTGTATGGTGTGTTTTATGTGTTAAATGTGAGAGTCCTTAGCTTGTCGTCATGTCAAGGATTGTTCTGTGAATGCATCAGTGGCTGTATGGTGTGTTTTATGTGTTACATGTGAGAGTCCTTAGCTTGTCGTCATGTCAAGGATTGTTCTGTGAATGCATCAGTGGCTGTATGGTGTGTTTTATGTGTTACATGTGAGAGTCCTTAGCTTGTCGTCATGTCAAGGATTGTTCTGTGAATGCATCAGTGGCTGTATGGTGTGTTTTATGTGTTACATGTGAGAGTCCTTAGCTTGTCGTCATGTCAAGGATTGTTCTGTGAATGCATCAGTGGCTGTATGGTGTGTTTTATGTGTTAAATGTGAGAGTCCTTAGCTTGTCGTCATGTCAAGGATTGTTCTGTGAATGCATCAGTGGCTGTATGGTGTGTTTTATGTGTTAAATGTGAGAGTCCTTAGCTTGTCGTCATGTCAAGGATTGTTCTGTGAATGCATCAGTGGCTGTATGGTGTGTTTTATGTGTTAAATGTGAGAGTCCTTAGCTTGTCGTCATGTCAAGGATTGTTCTGTGAATGCATCAGTGGCTGTATGGTGTGTTTTTATGTGTTAATGTGTGAGAGAGTCCTTAGCTTGTCGTCATGTCAAGGATTGTTCTGTGAATGCATCAGTGGCTGTATGATGTGTTTTATGTGTTAAATGTGAGAGTCCTTAGCTTGTCGTCATGTCAAGGATTGTTCTGTGAATGCATCAGTGGCTGTATGGTGTGTTTTATGTGTTAAATGTGAGAGTCCTTAGCTTAGCTTGTCGTCATGTCAAGGATTGTTCTGTGAATGCATCAGTGGCTGTATGGATGTGTTTTATGTGTTAAATGTGAGAGTCCTTAGCTTGTCGTCATGTCAAGGATTGTTCTGTGAATGCATCAGTGGCTGTATGGTGTGTTTTATGTGTTAAATGTGAGAGTCCTTAGCTTGTCGTCATGTCAAGGATTGTTCTGTGAATGCATCAGTGGCTGTATGATGTGTTTTATGTGTTAAATGTGAGAGTCCTTAGCTTGTCGCTTGTCGTCATTGTCAAGGATTGTTCTGTGAATGCATCAGTGATTGCTGTGAATGTATGATGTGTTTTATGTGTTAAATGTGAGAGTCCTTAGCTTGTCGTCATGTCAAGGATTGTTCTGTGAATGCATCAGTGGCTGTATGGTGTGTTTTATGTGTTAAATGTGAGAGTCCTTAGCTTGTCGTCATGTCAAGGATTGTTCTGTGAATGCATCAGTGGCTGTATGGTGTGTTTTATGTGTTAAATGTGAGAGTCCTTAGCTTGTCGTCATGTCAAGGATTGTTCTGTGAATGCATCAGTGGCTGTATGGCATGTGTTTTATGTGTTAAATGTGAGAGTCCTTAGCTTGTCGTCATGTCAAGGATTGTTCTGTGAATGCATCAGTGGCTGTAGAAATGTGTTTTATGTGTTAAATGTGAGAGTCCTTAGCTTGTCGTCATGTGGCGGATACACTAGTGCTGAAAGAACATTTATTACCCACGTGGTCAACGTATGGGTAGTTGCATACTAATCTCGTACGTCACACGAGTGTCGTATCGCGTTGACCTGTGTCGTAACGACTTGACCTGAGATTCTAACGATTTGATTGGATAACCGATGACCTCTCAATTAGGTCACATTCTGACGTAACTATTTTTTCATTCATTACAAACACATGAATCCATTCATTCTACAACTTAAATGCATTGTGGGAATGTAAACATCGCGAACGTTGCCGTGTCGCTGTTTAATTGTGAGCCGAACTGAGACATTATACCCGTCGAAAAACGTAAACGCAATGTTTCCACCAGTGATGATAGCCGAATGAAGCAACTGCAAACCAAGAAACGGGGTGCTACGGAGTAGTTTACTGTAAGAGGCTGTACGAGGCGATGACAACTGACATGCATCGTGACGTCGGTTACCAAGGCAGTGACGTCATGCAAATATTGTACTACAGTGCAAAACTCTTCCGCAACCTCTTTATGAAACCGGTTTCGGTTTGAAACCAAAATATTAACAAAAATACGCTATTTTGTCAATTTAATGCATGTAAGACGTGGGTAATAAATAAAATACCACACTCGGTCTCATTACATACGAATTATACGAAACTCGTGACCTTCCTATGTTATCTGACCTCGCTTTCGCTCGGTCAGATACCATAGGAAGGACACTCGTTTCGTATAATTCGTATGTAATGAGACCTCGAGTGTAGTATCCTCTATGTATGCACCGTTACATAATCATAATAATATTACATTATCTTACCCCTGGAGGTAAAAACCATTGTGCAGGGAGAACATTCAATATGTATCTAAGCGCTGGGTAGCAATTGTAAAACCACACATGTCTCTGAGATTCACCCAGTCAGTCACGAACACACTCACTCGGTCTCTCAGTCAACTCCTGGGTCACGCAATCAATCACTCGTGCACGCATAACGCGCACAAAACAATTAATTGTCGATATGTCCTTGAGTTTTCAATGTCGGTCCTTGTACTCCTGAAACCTGGCCTTAATTCTGCTGGCATAAAAAAGACATATCTCTTGTAGCCACCATGGATGAAGATCTTTAAGTCTCCCCCCTTCTGGGCGCTGCTGACAGCTCACATCTCCCAGACGTGGATTGAGACCACCATCACCACCTTCATCCCCATGTACATGAACGATGTCCTCAAGTTCAAGATTGAAGAGGTCAGAGGAAAACTCGCTCACAGATTAATATTTGCGTCATCATAGCTCAAAGATTTACTTCAACGAAATGTTTTCAAATATGTTTTTTTCAAGGCAGATCTTACAATTAAGCCCCTTGTCCTTAGATCTCAGCACAAAGACATTTGGAACTGACATCACAAGGTCATCGGGCATGTTTGAAGACAAACATGTATGCAACACGAGATGATACTCGGTGATGATACCGAGTTAGCTTTCTATGTAGTCGAAAATTGAAATTAATGCTGTTGAATCATGCGTATTTAACCATCATCCATTCCATTTGAAACAAAGTAATCTGTGATTGGGTGAAGTTGTGTAAAAATATTTACAAATCTATAATTTACTGATTCAGAGACGACTGGATAAGAAATAGACCTGCAAACACATGACCCTACCCTGTCCAAATCTACCTGTATTGGCAGATAACGATACCATGGTTAAGATCCCCATCACCAGTTGTGTTATTGCCCTTTTCTCACTTTTGAAAAGTTAAAAAAATAAAGTTATATCTGAAATAAATGTTACCATGAAGAAGTAGTCAGTGAGCACACCAATCATCGCCAGCGTCCAGTTAATAAGCAAACGTTTGATAAACTCAACAGTCACAAGGAAGCTAAAGTACTGTAGGAAATAGAAAAATACTGTTTGGGGGCTGTTACTCTGTATCCCTAAAATTTACACAATTGCAAATAGCATATGTCGACATAACCCACATCGGCCTAACTGGGCGTTCAGTGGGATGCGTAATATGATATCAAGAACAGCATGTTTACTCGTAAAATCGGGCAAAACTTGGAAAAAAATACGAATAGCTGTTTAAAACAATATAGATCAGACTATAGATGACAATTAGGTGGCTCAGCCAGGTATGATGACGGAACGTCGACACACCTAGCATGAAATGCACGTGCTGCCTACAGCGACAAGGGGTCATCTCAAAGATATTATATGCTTTTTCTTTTGTGTTGAATATGTCTCACATGTTGATTAACATCTAAACGTGTCTTTCTTTCATAAAGTTGATGTTGAGATATGTAAAAGATTTTGATACCCATAGAAAGGCTTAAATCAGCCATCGTATTAAATGTCTCAAAATATATAGGTAGCATGGCCACCCGAAGATCGACAGGACTGGATATTATTTCTAAATTGTTACTTGCCTAGTTTATTTCCCCTAAAGGATTATCTCATCTTAGCTGATATCTCCATCCCCAAGCCCGACCCCAACCACCTTCTGCGACACCCGACCTGGTTTTGCTTTTGAGACGACCCCTCTGTCTGTTTGTCTTTATAGTGGTAGTGAGACTACATGGCAGCTACATCCTTAAGAGTTTCACAATTAAAAATATTGTTTTGTATGTCATCTGTCGTTTACAATGAAGCTAAGTCTAATTTCAAAATGGGAAATTAAAAAGTGTCCTTTGTAATACAATATCATCGCACACTAATTTGCATAAAGCCAAGGTCTGTTCCAAATAAGTCGACTTGGACTTATTGCTCATTTCTGCACTAACCTCTCCTCAATAAAGTCCTTTTTTCACGTTTCCTATCTCCCTACCACTGATACTGTAGTTAAGCCGAACTTGGTTTAACAGATATTTAACACTTTCACATATTACCTACATAAATTGTGGATATAAATGTGAAAAAAACAGTTTTTTTCTCTTTCCAACAGTACTTTAGTATTAACAGATACATAGTAGAGCGTTTAGCTACAGTGAAAACAACGCACATGAGGCGTAACCCGAGTTGATCGACCAAGACATCGTCAGTGACGCTTTCAATCAAAATATAACGTTTGCAATTTCGGTGTCCTGTAAGGTGAAGTTCACTCGTTTTCAACTGTGTGTTCCAGAATGGCCTACTATCTTCGCTGCCGTTCATTGGGCGGTTTCTTGGGGGCATAGTCACTGCCTACATTGCTGATCTGATGCAGTCAAAGGCCGTAATGAAAACAACATACACAAGAAAAATGTTCCAGACAATTGGTAAATAGTTCCAGACAGCTAGCCAATACTTTTGACAGTTGGTAAAGAGTTCCAGACAGTGGGGAAAGTAAGGAAGGATAACAATATATGGATGAACTACTTCTTTATAAACAGTGAGAGCGACGTTCTAACACCGTTTTGGTGTAGGTTCTAACACTGTTATCAAGCAAGTGATGACTTTTCTCACAATGTACCCATCACTTGATAACGGTGTCAGAACCTACACTGTTTCTAGAACAGAACCTAGATTGTTTCTTTCTAGAGTGAGTAAGAACGCATGATTTGACTGTTTTCATTTAGATTCCTGCATGGCTGGGGACACCAGAAGGGGGCTTTACACATTATACCCATGGAGAGATTCAAACACTTACATTCGTCATGCTAGCCTATGCTTCAACCATTAGCCTACAGTATGAACCACTCTAGTGTTAGGGCACCTGTAAAAAACAATATATAATTTATAGTTTATTTTGTATTTCAGGGTCAGTCATTCCAGCCTCGTTGCTGATTGGCGTGAGTTATTTGAACACCGACCAGAGGGTGATGGCGGTGGGGCTACTGACGCTGACGATGACGGTCAACTCCACAACAATAGCCTCCTTCAGGGTTAACCATCTTGACATTGCTCCCAGGTAGAAATACAACACGTCTTTTGTGCAGATTTGACTTCCTTAGTCGTGTCATTATCTGCAGGTTGCAGTTCGAAATCCTGATTCTAAAGGTTCTAGGTTTAATCAGCACCACCTACCCGAGAGGAATCGGTGTTAACGGGATCGAACGATGACGATTCCTAACTTTGTTAATGTGACGGTCGATTGGTCAGTGCTCAAGATGTCAGTCACTTCATTGGTCAAGAATTGATTACAGAAAGACTGCCGTCATACAGCTGAAACATTGCCAGTATGGCGTTAAACGATAAACACTGAAACAAAGCAACGTCACATCAGGCTTTGGAGTTATTTCAGCGTTTAAGTGACATAACAGAAATACAGTTGAAGTCCCGGTTATTACGTCTTACCTGTACCAAAACGTGTCCTTCCCGGAAGATGAAGTATGGTAGCATTATTCGACACGTACAGTCATTTCCCATTGAAGTATTAAGCAAGTGTGAAGGGTTCAAGCCACGGTGGATATCTCGCCAACAAGTTGTATGTTTCCATGGGGCACCTGTCCAAGTTTCACTCTCGACATGAACATGTACGTTTCTAAGCTGTGTATGGTGCCACGTTGTTAGATGTTGGAGGCCGCCGAGTACACTTAACTGGCGATGCCCTGTGCCTTGCGTGGGCAGTATTTTCTAAGTATATCCTTTTCACATCTTTGCTCGTCACCAGATACTCCGGCCAAATAATGGGCTTCACGCAGACGTTTGCAATCGTCGGTGGCATCGTCAGTCCTCTTGTTACAGCAGCTATTACTATTGATGTGAGTATGTGCAAACACCCCATTCCAGCACAACACACTGCAGAGCATGTGCAACACAACGTAACACAACACACTACACAACATGTGCAACACAACGTAACACAACACACTGCACAGCATTTGCAACACAACGTAACACAACACACTACACAGCATGTGCAACACAACGTAACACAACACACTACACAGCATGTGCAACACAACGTAACACAACACACTGCACAACATGTGCAACACAACGTAACACAACACACTACACAGCATGTGCAACACAACGTAACAGCACAACACACAACACAACATGTGCAACACAACGTAACACAACACACTACACACAACACACTACACAACATGTGCAACATAAGCACATGTGCACTAACACACAACGTACACAACAACACACAACACTACACAACACATATGCAACACAACGCAACACAACACAACACAGCATGTGCACAGCATACACAACACAACGTAACACACACACAACATGTGCAACACAACGTAACACAACACACTACACAACATGTGCAACACAACGTAACACAACACACTACACAGCATGTGCAACACAACGTAACACAACACACTACACAACATGTGCAACACAACGTAACACAACACAACACACAACACAACACGCAACACAACATAACACAACACACACACTACACAGCATGTGCAACACAACGTAACACAACTACACAACACAACATGTGCAACACAACGTAACACAACACAACACACAACATGTGCAACACAACGTAACACAACGTAACACAACACACACAACATGTGCAACACAACGTAACACAACACACTACACAGCACACAACATAACGTAACACAACACACTACACACGTAACACAACACACAACACACAACACAACATGCAACACTGCACAAACACAACACACAACACAAGCATATGCAACACAACGTAACACAACACACTACACAGCATGTGCAACACAACAACACAACGTAACACAACACACACAACGTACAACATGTGCACAGCATGTGCAACACAACACAACACACTACACAGCATGTGCAACACAACAACACACGTGGCACACAACATAACACAACACACACAACACAACATAACACAACGTAACACACACTACACATGTGCAACACAACGTAACACAACACACTGCACAACACAACGTAACACAACACAACACAACACAACGTACACACACACACAACATGTGCAACACAACGTAACAACAACACAACACACAACACTGTGCAACACAACGTAACACAACACACACAAGCGTAACACAACACACTACACAACATGTGCAACACAACGTAACACACAACACAACACACATGTGCAACAACGTAACACAACAACACTAACGCAACACAACACAACGTAACACAACACAACATGTGCAACACAACAACACAACACACTACACAACAACACAACACACAACACACTACACAGCATGTGCAACACAACGTAACACAACACACCACACAGCATGTGCAACACAACGTAACACAACACATGTGCACACAGCATGTGCAACACAACAACACAACACCACACACAGCATGTGCAACACAACGTAACACAACACACTACACAACATGTGCAACACAACGTAACACAACACACTACACAGCATGTGCAAACACAACGTAACACAACACACTACACAACATGTGCACACACAACACACTACACAGCATGTGCAACATAACGCAACACAACGGACTACAACAACATGCAACAAATACAACGTAACACACACACTACACAACATGTGCAACACAACGTAACACAACACACTACAACACGTAACACAACACACTACATGTGCAACACAACGTAACACACGTCACACACACTACACAGCATGTGCAACACAACGTAACACAACACACTACACAAGCATGTGCAACACAACGTAACACAACACAACACTACACAGCATGTGCAACACAACGTACACAACACACTACACAGCATGTGCAACACAACGTAACACAACACTACACAACATGTGCAACATAACACAGCATGTGCAACACAACGGAACAACACAACACAACACACATGTGCAACACACACACATGTGCACACGTAACACAACGGAGCAACAACAACACACTAACACACACTACACAGCATGTGCAACACAACGTAACACAACACACACACAGCATGTGCAACACAACGTAACACAAACACTACACAAGACAACACAACATGTGCAGCATGTGCACAACACAACGTAACACAACACACTACACGCAGCACACAGCATGTGCAACACAACGCAACACAACATGTGGACCACAACGGAACACAACACACTATACAACATGTGCAACACAACGGAGCAGAAAGGGGGAGACTGAGTCATACGCCAAGGATAACACTCCGCAGTGCATTACAGCGTACCCAAACAGCGTACCCTACAGCGTACCCAAACACCAATATCCTGACAAATAGTTACAACACAATACAGCACTGAATACTCAACCGATCAACACCCAGATACACACTCACACACACACACACACACACGCACACACACACTTACACAACATACACACGCTCATACACACACAACATACAAATACCCATACGCAAAGCCGCCTGAAATTGCAAAGATCAATGTTCATGAGGTCAACGACTATGATTTCTCGACGGGACCGCCGTCATTGACCTGGTTGACCTGTCAAGTTGCTGAGTGAGGTGTTTAACAGCAAATCCTACACAATAAAGTGCTTTTGACAAAAACATCAGTCAACACACTACGATGTCCCCAACCCACTGTATCCACACTAATCATACGTTCGACATTGTTTAGAAGCACCTCAGTGCTTTAGGGGATACATACTTTCCCATGGGATCAATACTTTCAAAAACTATTATCTCGCTGTAAACACTATGAATCCGTTCGTGTCACGGGTGGCCCACTGGTTTAAAGAAGTACTTGTTATTGTCCGAATCCCGGTCCGAGTCAGTTTTGTCCTACCTGTGCCCGTGGGCTTCATCAAAGTGGTAAAGGTCCGCGACCTGCATTACTCCGGGTTTTCCTCCCTTATTAAGCAGACACGCCGTGATATAACTGGAATACTGTTCCCAACGGCGGTAAACTTCACTCACTAAAGTTAGTCTGCAATTCATATTCTGGTGAGTAGGTATGTTTGGATTTTACTGGACTTTTGGACAAGAATGTTTTTATTAATGAACAATTATTCCAGCACATAATTTATTAGACTATTCTGTTTACCTACTTTCATCTTCAACGATTTCTTGAACTCTTAAGGGGCGGTAGGATAGCCTAGTGGTTAAAGCGTTCGTTCGTCACGCCGAAGAACAGGGTTCGATTCCCCACATGGGTACAATGCGTGAAGCCCATTTCTGGTGTCCCCCGCCGTGATATTGCTGGAATATTACTAAAAGCGGCGTAAAACCATACTCACTCACTCTTGAACTCTTAATGTATTTAACTCTTTACTTTTCTATAGGGGACAAGGGAGCAATGGCAGATCGTATTCATCATCACAGCTACCATCGTCCTGTTCTCCAACATCGTGTTCGTCCTGTTTGGCAGTGGGCGGGAACAAGCCTGGGCTAAGTTTAAGGAAGCAACCATCGACATTCCACGCATGTCAGAGCAGAATCACTCCCAGACTGTGAATGCAGAACAGCAGAATGCGCCCCATGTGTCTGTTATACATATCCAGGGTGGGGGCTCGTATGACTTTGTGTATGACGTTAAAGTGGATACAAAGAATGAGGAGTTGGGTAAAGTCAACACAGGCTTTGATGGGGATGATTCAGGAATTGTACAGTCGGAGGAAGGTTCCAACGATATCATAGAGACTACCCGGATGTAGGATCAGACGTGATGAGATGATGAACTGTGAACTCGGCGAAACGTGTCGGACTAATTATGGAGGTATGAGTGAGACGAACCCAGGGCATTTGACGTGTCTGCAGTTGGTGTAACCTTCTGGTCGGACAGCCATAATAATCGACATGTGAGGAAGTGTAACTGGAGCTTTAGAATACATGCTAATGTAACTGTACAAATGATTACGCATCTCTTCATCTCCGATGCGGTACAAATCCTAAATGAATGCAATTATTCTGAAGATTCTGTGCTCACTTAGCTCCAACTGCACTAACTATATGTCATCGGAAGTGACGTTTTAATAAACCAAGATGGTGGCCCCCGCAATAATCGTGCGGATTGTGGATCATGTCGAGATATACTGCCATTTGTTGGTCAATGCGGTCTTATGTAATTATATTTAACCTAGTCGTGTTTCAGGATTATGGTATCCAGAGTCCAACACGTCTGTGAATGTGTTTGTGTATGTGTGTGTTATCTCTTTCTGTTGCCTAGCAACAGTGTATATACCTAAACCAACGGTCAACGCAAGTTCAGATTATAGTTTTGGGGACATGTTATGCACGACTGACCTTAGGCTATGAAACATGAACTTTCTTCAAATTCTTGGAGGTCTCAGAAATTATTTCGACCACTATTTAAATGACCAAAGATGTTTTGATATATTTTATAGTTGAATATATATATCAATAGAGAAATGCATATGTCATGTGATATTGACCAATAGAAATACTGAACAAGAGATATAGTTGTTACTGTTATGTCAGATGTGTCTTCATCTATCCCGGCGATCAGGAGATATGTTCTGGTTGCTCCAGAGTTCGGACCAGGAAACATGTATCGGATGGTTAGAAATTGTAATATCCCGGAGTTCGGCGAAGTAGAAGTGTATTTGGGACTCTAGAATTGTGTTATCCCTCAGTTTAGGCAAACACAATGTACCTTGTGTTCAGGATCTGTTCTGTCCATGGGTTCGGACCAGTGGACATATACATGGTATCTAGGATCTGTTCTGTCCTTGAGTTCAGATCAAGGGACATGTACCTGATGTTCAGGATCTGTTCTGTCCTTGAGTTCAGATCAAGGGACATGTACCTGATGTTCGGGATCTGTTTTGTCCTTGAGTTTGGACGAGGGTGTACTGAGTGTTCCTATAGCTCAGTGATATGCATGGAGACCTCCTCGAGCATTAAATCAACCTACAAGTGATCAATCCGACAGTACATGACAGCAAACGGGCAATGTTAAACACCCCACCTTCGATGCTGATTGTCGCTTTGTTCTACTGAACAAACAAACACATATTTACACAATACATCTTTATTCATGTAACAATATTGGGGTATAAAACTATCTTCTATCCAATCTTCTGTGGGGCAGTGTAAGCTGGAGGTATGCAATATCGTGTCACATCTCTCGTTAATGTTTGCTGCACACAATAAAGCATACAAAATTCTCCAAAGGCATTTAAAGGTTGGTGTAGTGGAACAAGACAAATGTGGATAACCACTTCTTTATCTGTTCCTCACGACGTTTCAGGGCTAGTTCTTGCCCCTTCTTCAGGTGAATGAAGAATCCACCTGAATAAGGGACAAGAACTAGCCAAGAACTTTTCTTGTAAAACATACAAATGTAAAATTCAACATAAATAATGCAAAACAATCTAATATCATATACCTAAATGCATCGCTAAGAATGACAATAAACGTCAGACCTCTTGTTACCAATATCAAAAACAGGGAACAATCTCTACGTGAAATCCATCCAGGATTCCAGTGTGCGTGTATAGGCGTATGCTTACTCAGACAAAATTGAAATGCCCCTGATGTGGCCATTTCTGCTTCTTACAAACAATAGTTCTGTTTTGTTCACCTGTATTCCGGTGGGCACACCTAAACATGTCAGTGAGTGGCCTATGGCACACCTAAAACTATTACGTTTCCTTGCCCCCAGCTCCTCTCGGGTCAGGATAACTGATATCGATATGCGCTTGTCTCGAAGTACGGATTTATCGATATATATATTTGAGAAGGCCAACGAAATGAGTGGGGGTATTTAACGATGAATAATGAAATGTGATCTATGGTACGTTCCTCGCAGTGACCTTGGCGGCCATAGCAACCAAAGAGGTACGTTGATAGTAGTCCCCATACTTCAACAAAGACTTACGATTGTCGTGGAACCAGACCAAGGTCACCCTACTTACATCTATGATATAGTCACAGGGCGTCGCCCTTGTCAGTCGGCCATTGAATCTGGAATTATGATTATAATCCCACAAATTGACGGGGTATTTGTTATCATCATGGAGATAGTAGTCTATGATACAGACAAAGGGAGTGTAGAAACAACGTAGATCTGTCAAAGGTGTAAACAATTTGAACGATATATATTTTGAAGAGATTTAGCGAGTGAGGTCGAGATATCAATTCCCGAAGCACCGTTTAAAACATTTGGCTTTGGTCGAAATATGTCCAAACATTTACCATATTTCATTTTTCGACGGATGTCTGACTAAATTTCAAAATTCGTAATGACACCTAATATATGTCTCAAACAAACCTTGCGATGCACACACGTGCATATCAGTAAAAACTAGCTGCAGATGTATTGATAAATAAAGGTGCGGGTAATAGCGGTGAATCGCAAGTATTTGACACAGGGTAACAACACTGGCAGTGAGGCGTGTGAGGTACAGGCACGTGTGTTTGGCAAGATGGTCAGCGCGTGATGTTGTACTCTCTAACATGTAGACGTAATACTCGGATAAACAGGTGGGGCTGGCGTCTATTTTCTCATCTTGGTGGTGTGGGGCGGGTACCCAGTTAAAAGTGTTTGGATCCTTTTCGTCTTGGCAAGTGGCATGTGGAGGGATTGTGATAATTTCTATAAAATGTTACCGAACTAAAATTGAAATGTATAAATCATGCACAGAAAGTCCATGAACCCTCGATATATAAGATATCTTTGTCGACATCCGAGCATTACATTCAGTACAAGTCTATCAGTACTAACTTCCTTCGACAGTCTGATGAACGGGTCCATTCCTCTCCTTACAACCGACACCAAGCACATAGGGGACCGTTCATACTTTATGGCCTTTGGCGATGATGATTTTTTGTGGAGAAGCATGCACAATGTGAATGACCCCACTAAAATTTAAGTACAAAGTAAGTGACACCACCACCACCACCCCCACCCCCACCCCTAATAAAAAGAAAAGAAGAAAAATAGTCAATGACCTCCCCCCGTTTCCATAAATTTTAAGCATAATTGAAGCCCTTTAAAATCATCATCATCCCCATAGCCATAAATTGTGAACGGTCCCTATGGAAAATACAAGCCAAAATAACATCCCAATAGTCATTCGCCTTGGTTTGAACAAAATGCCATCACAAAACATATATATGTAAGCAAAAAATCAGCAAAGAACGACATATTTTGAGAGAATTTGATAGCTTTGTCAAAACACAAGGCCATAAATTGAAATGTCGCAAATAGTCCAAACGCTTTCCACTGCTAAATATATAGGTATACCAAAATAAGTGAGATAAGTTATTCCCACAAATGAATTGTCCAACATGGCATCCATATCAGAAATGAACAGTTTGGAGGAAAACTAAATGTTAAACACGTTCTTTGATTTCTGGGGACCAGTCAGCAGACCCAAGAACGCCTTTTGAGAGAATTAAGAGCATGGTGATAGCGCAAGGAATGATTCAAGGGCTGATCTTAAAGTCATCACAAAACCCACTTCTGATTTCTTTCATATTAAAGCTGACAAACAATTTATATATGACGCCATGACAAAATGGCCTCGACATACCAGCACTTGCAGGAACAACTTTCAGGAACAACTCATACATTTCATAAATCTAACCTGTAACGTCAATGTTTAATAACACGAACACTGACACACACCCTGGAGGTATTCATCCGCTTACTGTACCACCCCGGCTCCAACAACAAACATTGGCACCACCCAGATGATCTGGGATTCCCGATTGGTCAACATTCCCAATAAAGATCACACTTAAGACCCGGAAGCAATAGTTCATAGCATACGTAGCCGTTAACGCTTAGGGACAGTTAAAGCACTGGCGATGACGTCATGAACAACAAGGCAGCAACTCCGCATTCTCTGACGTCAGAGTTGAAGTGACTGTTCTCCCAGTCTCGAGCTGCGTCCTCAACCGGTCCTCCATATATGGCTGTGTTCTACACTAGACCAGCATCTTTCGCCAGTGAGTAGAAGTGACTGCTCTTGTTCGTCAGCAGGACATGAGGATGGTCATATTCCAGTACAGCCCCTGCGCCCATCACGAGGATCCTGCGGAACAATGAGAGAGTGGGATAGCACTTACGTCGCTTTGAATAACACTTCAAAGCGAGTACTTCAATCACATGTCTAGTATAGTGAAGCAATGCAACACATGGAGAACAATATTGCACCTAAACTGACGTTCAAAAGAAAGTACACACCTGATTCTTTGGTAAAATATTTTCTTTAAAACAGCATTAATATTTAAAAAGTGTTTTGATTCTGCCTTGTCACAAACATTGTGCAAGTGTTTCCAAAACACCACAGATATCGTACCCAATTACAACATTGCTAGAAAAATATTTATTTTCTAGGGGGGGATAGTCCCAAAACACCAGGTGTGTACTTTCTTATGTACGTGAGTATATTTGCGGCAAGCAACATACTGAATGTGGAAAGCAAGGGTGATTGATGTCTGCTGCGATGGATGGCGTAGCAAATACTTTACACTTAATTGTTGTTACAAATGCGTAAGGTGAAACTTGACCTGACCTGTCAGAGTCCATGATGGTGTGTAGACGGTGTGCGATGGACAGTGGGACTCACCTGTCATGGTCCACGATAGTGTGTAGACGGTGTCTATAGACAGTATGCGATGGACAGTGCGAATCAAATAAAAAAAATATACCAAGATCGATTGACTCACCTGTCATAGTCCATGATGGTGTGTAGACGGTGTGCGATGGACAGTGGGACTCACCTGTCAGAGTCCATGATAGTGTGTAGACGGTGAGCGATGGACAGTGGGACTCACCTGTCATAGTCCATGATGGTGTGTAGACGGTGTGCGATGGACAGTGGGACTCACCTGTCATAGTCCATGATAGTGTGCAGACGGTGTGCGATGGACAGTGGGACTCACCTGTCATAGTCCATGATGGTGTGTAGACGGTGTGCGATGGACAGTGGGACTCACCTGTCATAGTCCATGATAGTGTTCAGACGGTGTGCGATGGACAGTGGGACTCACCTGTCAGAGTCCATGATGGTGTGTAGGCGGTGTGTGCGATGGACAGTGGGACTCACCTGTCATAGTCCATGATAGTGTGCAGACGGTGTGCGATGGACAGTAGGACTCACCTGTCATAGTCCATGATATTGTGCAGACGGTGTGCGATGGACAGTGGGACTCACCTGTCATAGTCCATGATGGTGTGTAGACGGTGTGCGATGGACAGTGGGACTCACCTGTCAGAGTCCATGATAGTGTGCAGACGGTGTGCGATGGACAGTGGGACTCACCTGTCAGAGTCCATGATGGTGTGTAGGCGGTGTGCGATGGACAGCAGTGGGACTCACCTGTCATAGTCCATGATAGTGTGCAGACGGTGTGCGATGGACAGTAGGACTCACCTGTCATAGTCCATGATATTGTGCAGACGGTGTGCGATGGACAGTGGGACTCACCTGTCATAGTCCAT